CGTCAGATCTTCAAGCCATGAAGGCTTAAGGCTCCTTGTGAGCCGTTGTGATTTCTTAAACCGCATTCTTTGCACAAAGCAATGACGAGAATTATAAAATGAGAAGGCAGCGTCGTCTATAGTCATCAAGGAGAAAAAGGTGGGCAATGGCGATGGTAATTTTTCTTCCTACGGTAGCATGAATTCAGGGCCCTTTGGTAAGCAGCATTGTTGCTTTTCATGCATCAACGTCCAGTTAGATTTCAACCTGATAGTTTCGTTAATAGGAAATGGACTGGACAATCCCTTCGCAGGACCGTTCATATTTGTACATGCTCTCTAGAAGAAATATGAAAAATATTTTCCTATGTTTACAACAAAAACAGAGATCTCGTAAAACGGATGTTCTTGATTTAAATATCAACACTGAACGTTATGCTTGGAGAATTGCCTGACTCAAAAACCTCAAGGCTGAGACTTTCTGTCTTTTGTTTCATTCCTGCTACATCAAACGAAAGGACTGAGTGTCAAGACTGACAGCGTAACTCGTCCATCTTTCTCCGGGTCGTCGTGACTCCTAAGCAAAAACAGCTTTCTCTCTCCTGTTACACTGTATGGCTGGAAGAAACCAGCAAATGTTGATAACCAAGCAGAAGATTTGCTCAAACAACGTTTAGATATATTTTGATGAGTGATTAAGGACAGAAGGTCATGAATGGCGCGTCCACACGTGATTTGCTACACTGATCCTCGGATTAATTAATTGATTTGATTGTTGGACATACGTGGAACGTATTGGTCGCACGTCTCCTTTCATGACTTCCATGTATTGTTAACTGCCCATAATCCAATTTCGGTGTTCCCCTGACAGAGAGCGTTCAGCGACTGAATATTGAAATCAGAGAGTGACAGAGTGAATTACAATAGGGCGTATCGTCTCGAGAGGTCATAGTATTCACGAACGCTTGTCATAAATCCTGAAACGGTCCGCTAATGAGGCGCATTACATTGGGGATTGGCTTCACGCAGTATTCCTTATAAAGAAAGTCTATTTATGAGAAAAAGAAAGCAAGGCATGAAACGGTTAGGATGTCTGTCTTTCTTATACTTTCATAGAAGGGCAATTTTAGCACCTTTTTTTGTAAAGTTGAGATCCATTAGGATTGCCTCATTTCAAAGGCAAATTCTAGAGCCAAAAGAGAGGTATATTGTTGATTCTCCTGCTTTACTCCCTGGTGGTATTCATTTGTCAGATTCAGGAAGAAGAAAGGCGAGTAACCCTGAGCAGGGTTCAAACTTTGGACTTCTATGTTCTGAGGTATGCGCTCTTCCGACTGAACAATCTCGATCTGAAGCGAATTGTGATAAATTCCTGGCTCAAGGGAATTTGTGAATAACACAAAGATTGTCATAGAAAGGAATCGAACCCGGCACCTCTGGAGTCCGAAGCAATTAGGCATCGTGCCAACATAGCACCTGGTTTAGAAAAGAATCAATTAGATTGCACGCAATCTGACTGAAAGGTTGGCATATCGACTATGCTGCTTCACGGGAAGGCTTGCTGGAATTTTTTCATTATATTCTCCTCGTTTTGAACAGAAATTGAAGAGTCATGGGACTGAGGGATGATACTCAACCGATAATATAAGGAAGCGAATACAAAATGGCATTTCCTTGTGTTTTGGACGGCGAAAACCAGAAAAATCTATAATGCGAAGCTGATCAATTTGAAAAATGATATCTGTCTTCCTTAACGGC